TCTAGAGCAGCGGTTCTCAACCTGTGGGTCTCGACCCCTTTGGGGGTCGAACAACCCTTTCACAGGGGTCGCCTAAGACCATCAGAAAACATATTTAATTGCACATTGTTTTTGTGATTAATTACTATGCTTTAATTATGTTCAATTTGTAACAATGAAATTGGGGGTCACCACAACATGAGGAACTGTATTAAAGGATCGCGGCATTAGGAAGGTTGAGAACCACTGCTCTAGAGGAAAAGCTCCCTGAAGCCCTGGACCTGTTAGCTTTTATTCAATTTTAGATACACATCTTGCCCTCAGGCACAGCAATCTGGTAGCAGACAGACTATCTCAAAGGGCAGTAAATATTAGTAAAGATTTACTTAAAGGCTATTAGGTCAGGAAATTGCTTCAAGCCACCACTATCTCTACAGAACAATTGGTGCATAGCTTTAGCCCTTGCTAAAGCTCAAGGTTCATCAGCTTTCCGAGTTCCTTGTTGTGCTTTCATGATAGTGTTTGACAATGGATGGCTTCCCGCACCCCGAGTCATAGTAGGTGCTCAATAAAGAACTGTTGCATGGAAGGAAAGAGGAGGGCGGGGTGGGTAGGTGAAGGGAGGAGGCAGAGCCAGGACACAGACCTGCCCAACCGCAATGTCCATGGCGCCTCGCTGAGCGGTCTCCTGGAGGCCACCAGTCCCTGCTGGGTAAGCTCCTGGCACTGACGCTGAAGACCACTCTTTGCAGGCAAAGCTGAGAGGGACACCACCTACGAGCCGCCTCACCTGGGGACCCACCTTAACCACAGCACCAACCCAGAGGACGGCGAGCTACCGGCCAGGTGACTCTGTGGCTCCTTCTGGGGAACTGGACTGGAAGGGGAGGTGGGGTCCAGACTGGAGCTCTGTGCCAAGCCCCAAAGTCCCTTTGGAGAACGTGTGCCCAGCTCTGCGCTGGCACCAAGCCAGAAAGCCTGGAAGTGCAGCCCCTGCCTGGGGATGGTATCTGGGGAAAGGGAAGCATTCCCGAGCAACCCCCTCTTCCGGCTGCATCCTCAGCCTCACCTCTGGCTTCTCTGCCCGCAGCACCAGCGCCTCCCGGATCTCCCTGGCTGGGAAGGGGAATGGAGGAGGCGCCACCCATGCCCTGGAGGACGCCTCCCTCTCAACAAGTGCTCCTGTCTCTTTCTCCTCTGCGAGGAGACCCATCCTGGTTTCAGGTAATGATCACCCCCAGGAGGCAGGGCCTTCCTCCCAGGCGGGCGGAAGGAGTGGGGTTCTCCCCGGTCTACAGTATCCACTGGGTAGGGGGGCCAAGGTGGACCCCGGGTTTCCAGCTTCCTGGGCTGCGGGTCTGTCACTTGCTACCACTTAATTCTTGTGGGTAGGGATTTCATTCACAGCTTCCTCCCCGTGGCCCATAATTGCTACTCAGGAAGTATTTGGTGAAGGATTTTATGACCTGGACTAGTTGCTTAATGCCCTTGAGCCCCTGTTTTCTCCCGTGTAGAGCTGTAATAGCATGCACCATGCAGGGGAGTATGTAGCTACCCGGGCCAGACCTTGCTTTGCAGACATCTGCTCTAAGTGCAATGCATTCTAGGACTTGCAGTTCCAGCATTGCACACCGGGTGGCGGTGGTCCTCAGGCCAGCGGTTCTCAGCCTGGTCCCTGAACTCACAGCATCAGCAACTTGTTAGAAAAACAAACGATGGCCCCACCCAGCCCTACAGAATCCGAATCCGCTTTTTACCACCGTCCCCTGGAGGTTCCTCTGCACGTTAAAGTTTGAGAAGCATTTATGGGCACAAACCACTTTTTTTAGCATCTAAACATGCACGAAAAGCAGTAACTAGTTACACGATCTTCGTAAGCGACAAAAGAAGCAAGGAGGCAAGTTAAATGTGCAGATGTAAAGACATACACCCAGATAGCGGTTTGGCGCGTGGGCACTGGAATCCCCCTGGCCTGGCTGGAGCCGAGATTCTGCCATTTACCCTCAGGGTGACCTTGACTTCACCTTTGAGAGCCTCAGTTTCCCTTGTTTGTAATGGCACCTGCGGCGTAGGGCTGAGTGTGCCTCATGGAGCTTCCAGTCCAGAGGGGACGCCCGGCACACGCCTCCTCCGCAGGCCCCTCGCTTTGTTCTTTCGTTCTGCCTTCTGGCCCCCTGACTCCTCCGTTGCCCACCCTCTAGAAATGCTTTGCTCCTTTCCCCACTATTGATCCACCGTGACCGGTTTCCTGGAGCAGGTGAGGGCGGGCAGGTGGGTGAGGGCTGGACCAGGAACCGTGTCTGGTTTCAGTCCTGGCAGCCCCGTGGAGACAGCAGGGCGGTCCCGCGTGGGGCAGCAGGGCCCCTGGCTCGGCCTGTGGAGTGGACTCTGGGCGGAGAGTGCAGGTCCACCTCTGTGTTGCAGGCCCCGTGCTCCTCTGGCTGCTGGCGCTGCTGGCGGCGGTCGTCTGCACCGGCTCCTTCCTCCTGTGCCACCGCAGGGCCTGCTGGAAGTGGATGCAGCAGAGTGAGTGATGTGTCCGCGGGGCCTGGGGAGGCGGGTGCTCTGTGCTGGCCGGGCCCCTGCCCTGCCCTGCCCTGCCCTGCCCTGCCCGCCGAGGCTCTCGGAGGCTGGCTTCTCCAGTCCCCTCCTGATGTCATTCCAGAGCTCCACCTGTGCTACCCGGTCCAGACCTTCCGGCCCAAGCCCGAGGCTGCGGGTAAGTGGTCAGGGGTCGGGAGGGGCTGCTTGAGCCGCAGGGACACACATCAGGCTGGGTTCTGGGCGTGGGGCTCCCTCTTGGTGGCTTCCCACAAGCTGCTCCTCTTCTCTGACCTCATCTGCGATGGGGATACAATGTGGCGGAGGCTGTGCCACGTCCTGCGCGGTGTTCGCACGGCGGGCTGGCAGGAAGCTGTCTTTGTGTGCGGCTAAGGCTTTCTTTCTCTTTTTTATATATATTTTATTGATTTCAGAGAGGAAGGGAGAGGGAGAGAGACACACACATCAATGATGAGAGAGACTCATTGATCAGCTGCCTCCTGCACGCCCCACACTGGGGATTGAGCCTGCAACCTGGGCATGTGCCCTGACTGGGACTTGAACCGTGACCTCCTCGTTCATAGGTCAATGCTCAACCACTGAGCCACACCAGTTGGCCCGCTAAGCCTTTCATTCCTTTCTGCACATTCCTTTCTGCATGGTGCCCCCAGGAGGGGCATTCCTGAATGCCCTCCCTCCTCTCTTCTTTCCCAGCCTCCCTATTCTTTCCTCTCTCCCATCCCCCCCTCCCCTCCTCTGGCAGCCGAGGGCCATAGGGGTCAGCGGGGCAGGCTGATAGGGCTGGAATCCTGGTTCCGCCACTTACAAGCTACACCTCGGGAGGTTACTTAATTCCTCTGTGTCTCAGTTCCCTCATCCGTACGATGGGGACAGCGGGACCTAGTCTGAGGGTGGGCGTGCGGGTGGATGGGGCTGGGCCTGTGCAGAGCGCCTGCGGGCGTCGTGTGCAGTGAACCGCAGTTGCAGTCTGCTGACCTGTCTGTGCCCGGGCCTTGTTCCTCACCAGGATCCCAGGCCTTCCTCACTGCTAGGTTGTTCTGAACCCTTCCCTGGTCCTTGTCTCTGATCCCTGCCCCGCCTCCAGGCCAACTCCTCCAGGCAGCCTTCCGGAGCCCCGGTCCTCCCCACCCACCCAGGCAGCAGGCTCTTCCAGCGCCCACCTGGTGGGGGTCTTGTGCCCAGGGCCCCTCTCCTGGGCAGCCCTTACAGGGCAGGGCAAAGGTCTTCTGCACACTCCGCGCTGGGCCCTGGCCACAGAGGAAGCAGCGAACATGAGTGGTCTGAGGGCCCCTTCTGGTTGCAGGGCGGGCTCCCTCCCCTATTTAGTCTCCCAGGAGCCCCAGGGGAGATGGGTGATGACCCTTAAGGAGGCGGATACCTGGCCAGGGCCACACCTCCTCGTAAGTGCCCCTCGGGCTCCGGCTCCAGCGCTGGTCCTTGAGGTTGCTGCTCTGACTGTAGAGGCCCGGTGCTGTCCCCTCTGCCTTCCGCCCCCCAAGCCTTGTCCAGCCCCTGCCCACCCAGAGCCCAGTGGTCGGCCCCAGGCCAAGTCATGGCCCTCTTGCCCCCGTCCCCCAGGCCCCTTAGAGAGCCTTGCCGTAGCCCCCCTTTTGACTTGGGCTTGAAAAACAGTCCACCGAGGTTGTTTTGAATTTGATGAGTTTCACAAGCAGGTGCTAGTGTTCCCTCCGCAGGGGGTTTTCGTGTTTTGATGGTTTCAAGCCTTTTTCCATGAGCTGTCAGGCTCAGTATCTCATTGAAACCCGGGTTTGCTTTCTTGACATTTTTCTAGTATTAGAGTTTCCATTGCCGTCAGTTTATTTTTTTCTTCGATCCTTTGTGATAGCAGTTTTGTCACACACCGAGAAAGAGAGAGAGAAAAGCACCTCCCTTAAGAAGCCAGACCTACAAGGCACCCCGAGCCCTGAGACTCAGGGGTGGCCGGGTCTGGCCCTCTGGCTTCGGTGGGTGCCTGGGGGTCCCCAGGCTGAGAGGGAAGGGAGGGGGGGCCCGGGTCAGCACGCAGGGCACAGGGTGAGCCCGGACTGAGCCGGTGATGCCCGTTCCATGTGGAGGGAGCTGGGTGTGCAGCAGTGGAGGAACGTTCATGCGTTTCTTTGCTCACTCATATACTCCAATCGTGTCACTGTGGGATTCCGAGTGGCCCTGTGCTGGAAATGAAGGAGGCTGCGTCGCTCTCCTGGGCTTTGAGACCTGTGTCAGTTGCTCAAAGGGGCGGAAGGCTAGCAGGAAGGGAGTGTGCGCCCCGCCCACCCCCCTCCGGGAACTGCAGGGCTGGGGGGGCCTGGGGCCTGACGGAGATCCGGGCAGGTGCCCATTCGATGCTCCCCCATCAGCTCTGCTCTTGAATTGACTTGACTTTGTGCCATGTGTCCTTGGTGGCAGGCATTTGCAAAGCACGTACATGATCTCATTTGACCCCTCAGCACCCTTGCGAGGCAGCCACTGCTGTTACCCCATTTCACGGAGGAGGGACAGAGGCACAGGAAGGAGGGGGGCTTGTGTAAGGCCACGTGGTTAAAAGCAGTCTGACCCGGATCTCGCTGTTACTGTTGGTGGCGAGGCTTTTGTAAAAAGGGTCTCACCCCCTCATCGATCGACATTTGGGACCGGGCTGTCGGGTGCATTGGAGGGTGCTGGCCAGTTCCTTGGTCTCCAGACCCACCAGGACCTGCAGCACCTCCCAGTGTGGCCACCAACGTGTCACCAGACACTGCCAGGTGGCCCCTGGGGGGAGGTCACGCCTGGTCGGGAAACACCGTTAAAATTCTTTTCCTCCTTCATTTTGATGGACACGAAAGTCATGACTTTCTCAGTTCACTCAGGCAGGTTTGCTTTGGAAAAAATTGTGTGTTGTCGTTTGGAAATAATTTCGAACTCGCAGGAAAGTCACAAGTACAGTACCAAGAACTCCTTTTCCCTGGACCATCTAAGTCACTGACTCAAGGCCCGTCATCTCTGACACGTGTGTGTGTGTGTGTGTGTGTGTGTGTGTGTTTCATACGAGTAAGGCATGTTTTTACACAAACGGAGTAAAACCATCTAAACTAGAGGATCTGCCTTGACGCGTTACCGCCAATGAGTTCTCAGACCCCGCTCAGGTTTCCCCATTCCCCCCAGCAATGTCCCCTGTAGCAAAAGAATTCCATTCAGAATCTCCTGCTGCATTTGGCTGCCGTGTCTCGGTGATTCTGGTCGGTGCCTGTCACGCCCTTCACCTTCCCGACCCGGCCACTGGGGAGGGTTCCACCCATGGCTTTGTAGGTGACCCTGACCCCGGCTTTGCCTGGTGTGTCCTTGCGACTGGATCCAGGTGGTGCATCTTTGGTGGGAAGAACCCAGCGTGACGCTGAGCGCTTCTTGGCAGCCTCCGTCCTCCTGGGTCCCTCTGGTCCCGTGGCTGGTGGGGTCACACTGAGCCCTTGATCAAAGGACCAGGGTGGTGTCTGCCAGGCTTCCCCGCCGGAAGCTGCTCTTTTCTCCGTGGTAATGGCTCCGTCTTTGAGGGGCGCTACTTGGAGGCTGTGAATAACCTGCTCCTCTGTCAGACTTTTCCTTTTCGTCACTCGTGTGGTTCTATCTGACGTGTGCATGCCTAGTTTATTCTGCTGCCATTGGCATTTAGTTTGAGGTTCAAATTGTCCCCGGTTAGGCCAAGGGGGGGCTCTTCCAGCTGGCTCCTGTGTCCTTTTGTTCCCATCCTTGTGTGTTGGGAACCCTTCTTTTTTTAAAAAATATTTTTTATTGATCAGAGAGGAAGGGAGAGGGAGAGAGATAGAAACATCAGTGATGAGAGAGAATCATTGATTGGCTGCCTCCTGCGTGCCCCCTACTGGGGATCGAGCCCACAACCTGGGTATGTGCCCTTGACTGGAATAGAACCCGGGACTCTTCAGTTCCGCAGGCTGATGCTCTACCCACTGAGCCAAACCGGCCAGGGCGGGAGCCCTTCTTAAAGGTTTTCCCAGCTTAGCTTGTACTTTCCTGCCCTGCCCTGGGGTCCGCCAGCTCCCCAGGGAGCCCAGGGTTGGAGTCGGGGAGCCGGTGCCAGAGCCTCGCTGAACCTCTGGGCCAAACCCTTTCCTTGGAGCTGTTCTGCTTCCCACAGCAGCTGGGACCTCAGGCCGGAGAGGGGATGGGACCGAAAGGGAGAGTAAGGAGGATGGAAGGGACGATGCCTTGGGAGTCAGAACGCAGTGCTCAGCGAGGTGGCCGCAGGGCAGCCCCAGGACACCGGGCACCGTTGCAGCAGGGCCACCGATGCCCAGTGTCCCTGGACTCACGTCCTGGGGTGCCGGCCGCGGTTACGGGAAGATCACAGTTATTCCAAAAGGAGTGAAACCAATTAACGAAGGCAGCGGACTGAAGCAACATTTTTAGGGGAAAAGCTCTTATGAAATCCGACCTCTTTGCTTGGCACAGTTTGTTCGGAGGCTTTATCAAAGTACACACGTGGGCTGTAACGCGGCGGGAGGCAGATGTTGGACCTGCTGGATTCCGCCTTTTGTGCTTCCTCTCGAGACTCAGTGTCAAGTGCTGACTTTCTCTCTGTGGTGACAGAGTGCCAGCGTCCTGGGCACCTCCCCTTTTGAATGCCAACACATTTTAAAAAATATATTTTATTGATTTTTTACAGAGAGGAAGGGAGAGGGAGAGAGAGTTAGAAACATCGATGAGAGAGAAGCATCGATCAGCTGCCTCCTGCACACCCCCTACTGGGGATGTGCCCGCAACCAAGGTACATGCCCTTGACCGGAATCGAGCCCTTCAGTCCGCAGGCCGACGCTCTATCCACTGAGCCAAACCGGTTAGGGCTGAATGCCAACATATTTTAAGTAGACGTTATTTTTTAGAGGAGATTTACAGAAAGTCTGAGACAATAATAGCGAGTCCCCAGGTACCCCCACCCAGTTTCCTGTTATTAACATCTGACAGTAGAAGGATTCGTTCGTTATAGTGAATAAGCAACATCGAAACAGGGCTGTTCAGTAAAGCCCATCCTCTATTCACATCACCTTAGTTTTTTAACATTTATTTTTTAAAATGTATTTTTGTTGATTTCAGAGAGGGAGGGAGAGGGAGAGAGAGAGAGAAGCATCAATGATGAGAGAGAATCATTGATCAGCTGCCTCCTGCATGCCCCCTACTGGAGATTGCGCCCAAAACCCAGGCATGTGCCTTGACCGGGATTTGAACCATGACCTCCTGGTTCATAGGTCAATGCTCAACCACTGAGCGACGCCGGCCGGGCAGATCTAGGAGCCCACCCAGGACGCCATGTGACCCTGAGTGGTCAGGTCTCCTTAGGCTCCTCCGGGCTGCGATGTTTCTGACCTCCGTTGTTTCCGATGACCTTGGCAGTGTTGAGGAGGACTGCTCCGTTATGTTGTAGGAGGCCCTTCTATTGGAACCTGCCAAGTGTTTCTGTCCTGATTCGATTGGGGTTACAGGTTTAGGGTAGGGGACGGACCGGGGGCAGGGTCATTTAAATATATATATTTTATTGATTTTTACAGAGAGGAAGGGAGAGGGATAGAGAGTTAGAAACATCAAAGAGAGAGAAACATCGATTTAGCTGCCTCCTGCACACTCCCCACTGGGGATGTGCCCGCAACCAAGGTACATGCCCTTGACCGGAATCGAACCTGGGACCCTTCAGTCTGCAGGCTGACGCTCTATCCACTGAGCCAAACCAGTTAGGGGTCATTTAATGACATCAGATCAAGGGGGCATACTCTCAGGGTGATCGGTCACGGGCCCCTTCACTTTCGAGATCTCCTTTAATCTTCATAAAAACCCTCCAACGTTGGCGCGATCCATCCCCATTTTGCAGCTGAGATGACTGAGGCCGGGCGAGGTGGCGTCATGTGCTGCGTCTCACTGCCAGGAGGCCTCCACGGCATCTGGCCCGCTCCCAGCAGTCGGTTCTTACAAATACCAGGCTGTGCACAGCCTTCTTATCTTTCCAGTTATTTCCTGAGGGTGTGCCCCGAAGAGGGGTTACTGGGGCAAAGGGTGTGAGACTTTCATGGCCAGCTGGCTCTCGAGAAACATTCACAGGAAACGTTCATGGGACGTGTTTACCAACGTCCTCTCCAAGACTGAGTTTTATCATTTTTATTTATTTTGTCTTGTTCCTGTGTCCCCCCCTCCCTCCCCCCAGTGACTTGGCACCAAGCACAGTTGGCAAAACACAGGATCACTCCCCAAGGAGAGGGGTTCAGTGTCACTGACATCATTTAAAAGAATGTGCCTCCGGCCAGAGAGGGCGCCAAGTGCTGGCTCGGGCCCTGGACAGTGGCCGCCGGTGGGCGTGAGCCCGGCCTCCCCAGGGGACCGCTCTGCTGGGAGCAGCAGTTGTCAGAGGCAGTTAGTGCAACGCGTTCGTTAAATCCAGGACCGAGGACGGGGTCCCTGTGCACATGTGCTGCTTTTCATCGCTGTTCTGGTCTGTCTCCCCGTTAGGCACTGTCTGCCTGTTGATGGGCATCGCGTGGCCACACGGCTCAGCCGGCCCCTCTCACTTGTTACCGTGGTTGCTGGGCCTCCTGTGAGTTTCCAGCTGGGATTCGGGGCCGGTGGTTCCTCGGAGCTGCTGGAATCAGGGGGAATGTTCTGGAGGTGACTCAGCTGATTTCTCCGGTCAGGTGTGCACACCTGACAGCAACGGATCCCGAGTCTCCGCAGGCGGCCCCCTGGACTCTGAAAAGGCTGTGCGTCCCTGAAGCGTGGTCTGCGCCAGGGAGCCGGTTTGCTCTGGGATAGACCAGATGCCTGGCCATGGCTTACACTTGGCTGTGACCTGGCATCCGACTCAATATGAGAAAACAGTTGGAGTGGAGGATAGGGCGTGGGAGGAGAGGATAAAGGTCGTGCCCTGAGTCATGGCGTCAGCGCCTCCTGAGCCCACCGAGGGTGTGGCTGCAGGAGGGGGAGGACTGGTGAGCAGCTGTCCTCCTCGAAGGCGGTCACATGGGCTTTTAAAAGCACAGTTCACAGAAAAATCACACTCAGAGGGCCCGAGCCCAAAGCTCCAGGATCATCTGGCTTCAGGCTCGCCTGGCACCTGACTCAGGAGGGTCCTCAGGGCTGCCAGCCCCTCTGTCACCTGCCTTGAGGTCCTCCGTGAGCTTCACACAGCGACTGGGGAGCTCTGGGCTCTTCAGGCCCCGCGTGCTGCAAGGTGGTGGCAATTTCTGAGTCAGCGGGAGCTTCCTTGGCTCCAGCCGAGCGTATGCGTCCCTTGAACTGTGTGTGTGTGTGTGTGTGTGTGTGTGTGTGTTGGGGGGGGCAGGTGGACTGGGGAGGGGTCCAGGGGCCTGAGGGCCGGAGAAGAGATGAGTCCCCTGCTCTCTGACAGCCCCGGAGAAGTGAGCACTGGGCAGTGAGCCCCTGTGGCCCGGCCTGGGAGTAGGCACGGACCCTGAAACCTGCCCTCTGCTCTCCAGACAGAGGACCTAATGGAGCATCAGCTCCCACGGGGGAACCAGGGGAGGCCTTTGTCCACATGTGCGGCGGGCAGGGCCCAGGGCTGCCAGACCCTCCTTGGTGAAGTTGTCCCTTTTTTCTCTTTGCAGATTCCAACCCCCCAAGGAACCAGACAGTAAGTAGCCGCCCCGAGTCCCAGCTGGGTGCCCCTAAGTCTGACTCCTCCACAGACCTGTTGCGTCGCCTGGTCCCCTGCCAGCCCCTGCTGGGTCCGCAGGGGGCGGGGAGCTCTGAGCCACGCCCTGGCCCAGGATGCTGTCCCTCCCCCCACCCTCAGCGGCCTGGCTCCTGGCTCCTCTCGCCGGGGACTTCCAGAAAGGCCCGCCAGACCTTGGTTTTGGCTGCTTTGGGTGCCAGGTGTGGTCAGGTCACGAGGAAGCCTGGATCTGCTTCCCCTTTTCTCCTTCACTCCTCCCGAGTCCTGTCCTCGCACTGGGCTGACAGATCAGTAGCAAGAATTTTAAACACGTGGCTGCCCCATACCGAGCATTTACCTGGAGCAGGCACCTCGCTCTGTGCGCCCTCCACGTCATCTCAGGGGGTCCTCACGGCACGCGGGGGTCCCGCTTTATAAAAGGGGACACTGAGGCCCAGCAGGGAAGGTGGCTCCGCAGCGGGGAGCAGACCCACTAGGGTTTGAGCCCCTGTTGGTGACTCCAACGCCAGTGCTCTGAGCCGCTGCCCTGAGCTGCCTCCTCGGAGACCAGCTTCATCCGCCCCTTTAGGGGGTGCTCCCTGTGCGCAGGCGCGGGCGCGGCCGGTGCAGATGTTACTGCTGATCACAGGACCACCCAGCACGGGCCCATCCACCCGGTCCTCACGGGGCTGGTCTGTGCCCAGCCCCCGTCAGCAGCTCCCACGGTGGGAGCTGGGGCAATGCCCCCCGGAGCTGAGGGAGGGGCAGGACCAAGCTCTCCCTATGGCCGGGTCTCAGGCCTGTATGGTTCACCCACTTTCCCCCCCCCCCCCACTTATCAAATCTTTCATTACTTTCTTTTAACTCAAACATTGCTCCGTGGAAGATCTGCTGTCTCCATGTAATACTAGCTAAATGGCGCAGCTTTCACACGTGTATAGGGCTCTCCCCACCCTTTTCAGCAGCCATGAGCTACTGAGCTTTGTGAACTGGCTTTGAAATATTACAACACTGTTTTGTTGCACCAATTTTATAGACTTGTGCAATACATGTTATTTTTCAGAGACGAACCAAAGGTTAATTTCTCAGGGTTCTTGCTGCCTGCTTTAGTGGCATTTGATGAGGATCTTTTACATACACTTGTAATAGTTGAAAAATAAACCAGATTGAAGATTCTTTTTTTTTTTTTTCTGGTGGGCTACCCTCCTATTACTAGGAGGGTAGTAGGATTGAGAGTTTGGCAAGGCTTTAGGGTTAATTCCTCTTTTTTTTTTTTTTTTTTTTTAATGCTTAAACCATGTACCAAGTTTTTGGTCCAAATCATGTAGAATAAGTTAAACTTAAATTGCATTCTATTAACCAATGTGAGTGTATTTCTCTAAGCATAGTTAGGTTGAAATAAAGTCATAAAAAGCAAAACAAAAAAACAACAACCCACAATAAAACCCATTTATACATGGAGAAAGGTTTCCACCTTTTAGTTTTTAAAAAAATATTTTTATTGATTTCAGAGAGAGGAAGGGAGAGGGAGAGAGAGAGAGAGAGAGAGAGAAATATCAATAATGAGAGAGAATCATCGATCGGCTGCCTCCTGCACACTCCCTCCTGGGGATCGAGCCCGCAACCCAGGCATGTGCCCTGACCGGGAATTGAACTGTGATCTCCTGGTTCATAGGTTGACTCTCAACCACTGAGCCACACCAGCTGGGCTCCATCCTTTAATTTTTAAACATAAGAGGCAGAACCACAATATGAGTTCAATTTAAAATTATGAGAGATCACATTCAAATACACTTGGGTCAGACAAGTTGCTGTTATAACACCGAGACATTTATGGAAAAGATATTCGGTGATTTGTAAGAGAAACAAATATCTTTTAGCTACTTGAGCTAACACCTTAATAGTAAATTGTTTTAAAATGCTGTCTTTTGGACTTCATATTGTTATAAAAGAATTTTCAGGATTATGTAGCTATACTTTCTGAATTACTCAAACTCATTCCACTCTGAAGGCAGCAGGTAAATGCTATGGACTAGAACATTCCATGAGACCGCTTCTCCTTTGCACTTACCTATCAAAGTCAAAAACTAGCCAACACTTTCCTGAAGACGTAGCACTTTTTAGAGTACATTAGTGTAGTCATAACCGACTACTGTCCCAGGAGGTCAGGGCTGGGCAGTAGGGGAGGCCTGGGGCCAACATGTATAGACTGGCCTTTACACGCCTGGATCCCGGAGCCAGATGCCAGGGTTCAAGGACTGGCTCTGACACTTGCTAACCCTGAGCAAGTCACTTGACTCTGTGCCTCAGTTTCCTGATCTGTAAAATGGAGAGAGTGCTAATATTAGTCACCTCAGGGGGTGGCTGTGAGGATTAACATGTGCCACGGGGTACACACGTGTGATGTTGGCCACGATCCTTATTTAGTACACGCTAAAAGCAGCACGTTTCTCCCGGAACTTACTGCGCAGGTGCACCAGGCTGTCGAGGCTGGGAAGCCCAGTGGCGGGTGGCAGCCCTCAAGCAGAAAGGGAGACTGGCTGGGGTGAACAGAGATGAGAAAAGGGGGCTTCGCAGTTTGGGGATGGGTGGCGGGGGGCGGGCACCCTGCATCAGCGCTGCCTCCCCTGTGCCCACAGGAGCTGAAGAGCCTGCTGGTGACAGAGCCCCGCACCGAAACGCTGGGGTTACTGAGCCCCCCGGCTGTGGAGCCCTGCACCCATGTGGGGGCAGCCGGCCTGGAGAGCCTGCCGCTGGTGGGGGCCAGTCCAGCCGGGAGCCCCTCGTCCCCCAGGGACCTTCCCGAGCCTCGGGTGACCACGGAACATACCAACAACAGGATCGGTGAGTCGGCTTATGTCCCTAGTGTGGTCAGGGTTGAGGGCAGTGGGGAGATGGGTGCTGGGCCCCGGGCCCCCACCTGGAAGTGGGGACCCTGGGTCTGGAAGGCCCCAGGCGTGGACTCTCCCACGGCCTTGTGAGTGGGAGGTGCTTTTGCTGAGAGGATTAGATGTGCTTGGCTACCCCGTCAGCTTGTGAGACAGCAGTGGTGGCCCTGACTTCATGGGGCTGATGGGGGGGGGGTTCCTGAAATAATCGCTGAAGTTGTCTTGTGGGGTGGGGTGGAGGGAAGAGGCGCCCCCTGCCTGGTGCCCCCTATTATTAGAGAGAAAAGTGAACACTGCCCCCAGCCCCCAACAGAGAGCCCCTGAGGGGACCCGGGAAGACACACGGTGATGTAAGAGCTGCCACTGGGCCGATCGTTCCGGGCACTGTGCGAGCGTCACCTCACGGTCACACCGCCTCGGAGGCTGGTGTCTTCCCCTTTTCGCAATTGGGGAAACTGTGGATGGGGCGGGGGTGACACGATTTTCCCGGGCGCACGGCCGTGAGGTGGCAGGGCTGCGGCTCGTCCGAAACCCCAGGTTTGTCTATACCACCAGTGCTGGTGGCCTTGCGGGCACCACGGCCAGCACTTCCCAAATGACAGCTGCCCTCCGGCTCGAACACACCCCCCCTTCAGCCTCGCCCAGGCCTCACTCGCCGCCTCTCCTGCCTACTACCGCCAGAACGTTTCTCCCAAATTGTATACCTCTCTATTACACCCTGCTTAAAACCCGCCAGGGGTCCCTGCTACTTCTGGATGACTTCAGGGTTCTTATTCCGGCATTCAAGGCTGGTCACGAGCTGCCTTCTCTCCACCAGGCTCACCTGCCTGCCTCCTGACCCCTGCTCAACGGCAGTTTCCTAAGCTTACGGAGCCCTTGCTCACTTCTAAGCTTCTCTGTGGGAGCTGCTTCCTCGCCTGGGACAGCCAGCACCACCCACTTGAAGACCCTGTTTATTCCCTCCTCCTCCTCCCGGAAGCCTTCCTTGCTCTTCCCGCTCTCCTGTCTAGGCCAGATGGCCTCTGCTGTGCTCCCCCCGACTCCAGGCCTTCCACCCAGTGTCCTCAGCACTGGCAGCGTGGCTGTGTTTGTGGCCTTCTCCTGCCCCTCACCTGTCTGTGATCCCCTGGGGCCAGGGCCTCGGTGCGCCCCCTCCCCGTCTTCTCTGGAGGGTAAACACCACTCGGATGACACCAAAGAGGCATTTGCAGTCATAGCACACATTTCTATGGCAGGCGAGGTGGACAGAACTCTTTTTAAAAATATATATTTTATTGATTTTTTTATAGAGAGGAAGGGTGAGGGATAGAGAATTAGAAACATCAATGAGAGAGAAACATCGATCAGCTGCCTCCTGCACACCTCCTACTGGGGATGTGCCCGCAACCAAGGTACATGCCCTTGACCGGAATCGAACCTGGGACCCTTCAGTCCGCAGGCTGACGCTCTATCCACTGAGCCAAACCGGTCAGGGCTAGAACTCTTTAGGGCAGAGTCTTTCGTATCAAACAGAAACTTTGGGAGCTGCAGCTTTTGGCTTTTTTTTTTTTTTTTTTAACGAGTTTTGGGAAATATCGCCAAAGGCATCTCGTTCACATTTCCGAAGAAGCCCTAATTTGGAGTTTGGAGCTGTGCTGAGTTCAGTGCCTGGAAGTGCGCTGGTGGGGTTCTGGAGTGTTTGAGGGGGTGGCGGAAGCAGGTACCAGACTCCCAGGGCAGCTGGGGTGTGGGGAGCGGCGCGGACAGCGGCATGGGCAGCCTGCCCAGAGCCAAGCCAGCCTGCAGGCCTTGCTGGGCGTGGGGTGATGGGAGGGAGAGCCTTGGAGGCTCTCTTGGGACACCCAAGGGCAGTGAGCCCCTTGTCCCTCTGACACTACCTCAGAGGGGCACCCCTTGTTCAATTCCCAAGGGGAACAAACTCCTGCCTGAGCTTCATCACTCCCCGTGACCATAGCACCAGGCGGGCAGCCCCTTTCCCCCACCTTCACCTTCACCCCACCCCCCCACCCCAACACACACACTTACACAGCTTCCCTGGATTCGGAGCCCTGGGTGAGTCAGGAATTCCAGTAGCTTCTAGAAAACCCTCCCCCTCCACACTGGGGGCTGGGCAGCTCTGTGATGGGGTCAGAGCCAGAGGACTCGGGGCCCAGGAATGTGAGGGGAATGATAGTCTGGTCCCCAACTTTGGTCTCTTCAACTTGGACAACCCACCCTGCTCTCTGTCTGTCTGTCTCTCTCTCTCTCACCTCCTCTAGCCCTGCCTGGCCCCCTCTGTGTCCTCCCTCTCTCTCACCTCCCGGGGCAAGGGGCCTGCAGGTCTTGGTGAAGATGTGTGTGGCTGAGGCCTGAGGCCCTCTTCTCTCTTTTGGGGTGTCGGGGGTCCCAGCCTACAACTTGTCTCTCTCTCTCCCTCATCCTCTTTAGTTCCTGCTGCTATTTTGAACACTTCTCTCTTTCCTGGGGATGTTAAAACCAACACAGAAGCGCCGGCATTATGTAATGGGATTGAGGGTGCAGGGGCCCCAAGAATATTTTGGGGGTTCCTGAATCAGAGGGGTGTAACCGGTTACCCAGAGAAGCAGGGATCCCGAGCCCCCTGCCCCACCCTAGCTCTCAAGTTCCCTCTTGAGCTTCCCCATTCAGCCTCTAGAATCCAGGGCTGAGCAGCTGGGAGCTGGGACCCTGCCCTGAGCCTGAGATACCGGAAGAAGCCCAGCTGGTGCTTGAAGTCAGCTGACCTGGCTGCAGGCCGGGCTCCCCACTTCCCAGCGTCTTTGGCAGCTTCCTTAACTCCCCTGAGCATCCGAAACCCCCAAAGGAAGGAAATGGTGTTGAGGACCCGGGGACTCACACCTCTAATGGGCTGGGCGGGTCTTTCATCCAAGTGACATATATAAGCAGTCCTACTGTGTGCTAGGCAGGCACAGCCATGAGGCCTCGGTGTGTGTGTGTGTGTGGCGGGGGGGGGGGGGGGGGGGGGGGGGGGGG